AGTCTATGTTAGCGTAAGGCTTTATATCGAGATCGTAATTGGAAAGTAAGAATCATAAACTACTCCGGTTAAGATTGAATGCTTCTGGTTCGATTCTAATTCAAATTCATTCAGTTGATACCTGATGGCAGGCGAAGTAATTAATTCAAAGCCCTTTATTAAAACTGATCAAGTTGTGATTCTTATTTGTGCATATGTAGCGTATGCTGGTCTAAAGATTAATTCGCCTTTGTCTTTGAAATCCGTCGAGTTACTTTTTCCATGGAGGAAGTTTGCAAAAAAAAAAAAAAGTGGAAGGGGGTTATGACATTTCGAGAGAAAAAAGTAAAGAACCGAACGGTTGTAGTTAATAAATCGTCCTGGGTATCAAAGCTTAGTCCGCTAATTCGCTTAATTTTAATTTTTTGCAACTTTTTTAACAGTCACGGCCCCAGCTTGTAAAACTATAAGTTAAAGTGATGGATAAATGTAGCATCGATGTACGAATTAAGATCTATGTCAATCGGCACTAAACATTTTAAGATTTGCATCTGCCGGCGATTGCAACTCCTCTTTTTTATACAGTTAGGTCAAAGAATTTCTTATGTACCTTTCCCGTCCGATTCTGATTCAAATGAACGACGCATCGCTACTTTCTCCTCTCCATTTCGATAAACCGCCTCAGTGACTGACAAGGTAAGAAAACATGATTATTCCTCTGTTCTGTGTTATTGGTCATTCTTGTAGGTGATCCTTGCGATTTGATACCAGCTGCTCGATTAATGTCAGTGTTCCTTTATATTTTTGGCCTAGCACACAGTCACCCAAACTGCATGAGTGCCGCAGTTCTGCGCAAGTAGTCGTCCAGGTTAACAATCGCCCGAAATCCTTGCTACTTGTTAAAGAGCCTTTGGCGACATCGAGGCGAAACAATGTAGCATGCACTACAAGTCCTTTAATTTGTAGTGTTCGTTTCCCCCCGTTCTTCCTGCCCTTATGCTTACAGTGGTGTTCCAGTGCAGCTTCGCGCCTTTTAAAAACCTTTAATTCCATCATATCGTTCTCGCAATTTCCAAAACTGTTTTTATCTGAACATTGTTTTAAACATAATTTGACATATTTTATATCTTCGTTC